GAGAAGACGCGGTTGTTTATGTATACGTGGATGAACAGAGGGTGTTCATGTGTCCAGACTGGGATAAATGTGGATGTATAGAGGTGTGGATGAGTGGATGGATGGAGGCGAAGAGAAAAATGGACAGACGAAAGGATGTGTGCCGATGCAAGACCTGGAAAGGGGCAATAATGAATGAAGAGGTCGAACAAATTAATCTGACAACCAGCCAGATTAGGCGGCCTCGGACGCAAGAAAGTGTTTCTGCTCTATTATGCACCATTCACACTAAGCTTGTCCGGCTCTTTGTTTGACGCCAATGCACACACTTGTTCGTGTGCATGTTTGTGTGTGTGTGTGTGTGTTGCTCGGCCGACTATCACTATTTCACTTGTAGTAATCATGGACTTCGACCTCATGTCATATTTGATAGAGATCCCACAAATTTTTGGGTCAAAGCTGCTCTACCAACTCACTACTCACACACCCAGACGTCCACATACCCACCCACCCATCCACCCACCCACTCCTCCATGTCAGGGGTCTTTTGCAGTAACAAGTAAATTGTGTGCGTTTCAAAGACGTCCAATTTGGCCGGACGTCTTCGTTTTGGCTGCAACGTCGACCCGACTTGACATGGCCTCTTCATTCGTTTGTTCATTCGTTTGATTGTGTGTTTGTGCGTCTGTACGTCTGTGCGTATGTGCGTGTGGAAAGTGGTCGGTCTGGGACATGCGATGTCCGGCTTCGTGTTGAAATGCATGTCTTGCTGGGCTGCTGGAGTGGGAGGCGAGCGAAGATGCGTTGCGAAGATGCCGTGGCCGCTTCAGTCACTTGTCGCCTCCACTCCGACCCGGTCGGGCTCATGTTGACATGTCTCCGGCGTTCGGTTGACAGGTTCACTTTCGCACCGACAGCCCCTCGTCATGTCGCGGCCAGACAAGAGGAAAGCCTACATCTTCTTGTCGGTCGGACCGACAACTTGTCGACGGGTTTGGTTGTCTGACCAAATCGACTCAGTCGGACTCACTTGACACGACCCAACACGACTCAACACAATCTAATCCAATCCAATAAAAATCGTATCCGACCTAATCGGACTGAATCAAATCCAATTCAATTCGACCTAATTGTGCCCAATCAGGCTAGCACAACGCGATCCGGTGAAAATCCGATACGACTCATTCCGTCTTAATCTCACCCAATCCAATTCAATACAATCCAATCCAATACAATACAATACAATACAATACAATACAATACAATACAATACAATACAATACAATA